CTGTGGCACATCACAAAATCACATCATTTATAAGGAGAACGCTGTGTCTCGCCTCTGCTTGATTCTAGAAGTACTTTTAAGAAATTCGTCTTGCATTGTCCAGCTGAAGTTTGCCACCTGTAAAGCCTGAAAATCAGTCATTTGGTGACTTTGCTGCTTTAATACTTGAAAATATCACTAAACTACTGTGTATAGTTCCTCCTCTTCCTCCTCCTTGTCTTATTAAGGTTTCACTGGGTGGTACAATCCTTGCAAAATCAATAAAACATGGTGTTGACAACTGCCAAAAATCAATTACATAACAGCAGCAGGAGACTTATCAATAGAAGAGGCATGGAAACTGAGATTCAAAGACTAAAGTAGTGCATTCAGAAACAGAGACTCAAAGTGTTCTTAGCTGAAGAAATGAAAAAGCCATTCATGAATTATTATGTGAGTAAATGGTTTGAAACATTCAGAAACATTCTCATAATTTATTGATTAATATATATACATTTTTGTCTAATTTCACTGTAGGACTTTTATTTTGAAGAAAATGTATTTTCTCTTTCTGTGCTTTTGCTATACCACATCTTGACACCACACTGTACCATATCCTTGGAGCACCTTACCATCGATCCAGTGTTGTGTGGAAGCTAGTGCATCCTACGGACATCTGGTTCCTTGAGCCAAGAAAGCCCTTTGTCAGAACTCAGCGTAGTGTGAAAGGCGAGCGTGTCATGCAGAATCACGGTGCCACATCTGGCTGCTTTTCTCTAAATAATCTTTCCTGAGTATATCCAGAGTGGCTTGTAGTGCTCTTTCAGCCTGGTCGTCTGTGGTGTCACGGGTGCAGGCATCCCTGGTAAGATTTCACCTGTGCATTTGCTTTTACCGCAGCACAGGTCATCAATGAGCTCTCAAGGCTGTGGTGATCCATAAATGACAGAAGAGCCTCTATTATCAGTGCCGCTGCCAAATGACTGAAAAGCAAACTCTGATGAGAGGTGTAGCTGCCATCAAATACAATTCATTAACGCTGCACTGCATTTTCCAGTACCCATGAGTGAGTTAAGGACCATTCATTATCTGTCTGTAATCGTTTGATGTTTCTGAAATATCCAAGCTGCTTCAGTTTATTCTCCGACCCTGCTTTATGCAATGCTGTCTTCTTTTTTTTTTTTAATTTTATGTGGTGTGATTGCTCATTTTAAAAAACTGGAGGTGATACTTAATTCACGACTGGATATTGCCTTTGGATACCATATCTCTTTAAAAGCATCATTAAGCATTATGTAAGCATAGAAAAGAGCTCTTTTTAGACTGGTTATATGCCTGTAGTGCTTTGGCTACAGGTATCATTTATTACCCCCTCTGTGGTTCATCCTTTCTCTCATCTCAGCTGCGGAAGTCCTTAGCTTTCTGTTAAGATGGGAATCATCCTTTTACCAAAGGAGTGTGTTTATCTGATTTTTTTCAAAGCTGCTGCTCTTGGCAGCGAGCTCACTGCCAAGTGCGGATGTTTCTCTTAGAATCCCCATCTGCATTTTGAAGCACCATTCAAACTCTACACATATTTCTGGAATCCATTTGAACTCCAACATAGGCCAGATCCCAGCGCTTAGCACGCAACAGAACCAGTGTCACAATGCTGACTCATGTCAAGAGCGAATAAGATAATGTTTTATTATGGTTCACAGCCAAAAAGTAAAAAAAGGAGCCTGTAAGCCTTTGTGTACAACTTTGAAGCCTTTGTGGGGAGTGAAGGGGTAACAAGAAATAGCAAGAACTCACTCAGTGTTTTTTATGCCTCGTGCACTTCCTTCTGTTTGGAGTTGCAGAAATGTTACGTAAAAGTGAAGGAGAGGATAACATATGTAGGCCACAGCTTATGCATTATATTCAAGCTGAAGCAAATGGCTGTGAGAATGTGTGAGAGAGCAGCAGAGAATTATGTATATATGCTTACTTCCATGATTTGCTGCAAGAAACGTGTGAGTTTGACTTAATGCGTGTGTGTGTGTGCAAAGCAGGCTTTGGCATTTGTGTAGGAGGTAACGTTCCTGTTCTTGTGTGCTCTTGCGTTCAACAGTAGCACAGCTAAGGAAAGCCATAGACTGTATGTAAAAGATGGGGGTAGTCACTGTGACATTATGGTAAAATGGTTAACTCTACATTGTGAAACTACCATCAGGGTGTTTTTAAGACAAAAGTTGTTAATGTTGGATTAGAATGGAGATTGCTAAATGGAAGTAAATTCTAACTGCAACTGTACACACAGATGTGCTATCTGCCGGTCAGTAACAGATATAAAATACGATTTCAGTCACCAAAAATGAAGCATAAACTTTCCCTACAGCCTGAAGAAGGTGCAAACCCACATGTGTTGATGCATTTTTAATGCAACCAGCCCCCTGCAATAAAGCCTCTTTATTACTATAGCTTAAAGACCTCATAGAACCTTATTAGCACTTAGCACACTCAGACTCCAGGCTCACCTGTGGTTCCTGGATTCAGCAGATGCAACACTAGATGTAAAACTTTGCTTTTTGATAAAGCATGTAGTTCGGGCTGGGAGTCACGCTGCAGTAGGGCTTGGCTGATGGAGGCTTCCTATGATGCACTAAGCACTTCTTCACTCAAATATTTTCACTTCCTCTGCGTTTACACACCACTACTGTATTTAATCATTAGCCATATTAAATTCTGGCTCTCTATCAATAGTTTGCCTTCCATCCTGCCTCTCTCTCGCTGCCTGACTCTGGTTCTGCTGAAGGTTTCTTTCTGTTAAAAACTGTGAGTTTGGGGGGTTTATTTGAACAATGTAGGGTCTTTACCGTACAATATAAAACATCTTGAGGCAACTGGGGCTATATAAATAACATTTAATTTAATTGTACTGAAAATTGATTTAAATTAAATTGAATTACTTGTTCAAACCATGGACCTTGGGTGTCTGGATTAAATTTTTTTATGTCACTTTTAGGTGTGAATCTTTCCATTTTCACTTTTCTTATTATACACTCTTACAAACTCTGGTGGCACTTTTTCATGGCACAGACCTCTTTGATAGGTTGCATCTCACAGCAGCCCATATTATTTTTTAAGATTTCCATTTAAATGCTCCAAAAAGCCAACAACTACCACAAACATGGTGAAAATGTGGAAGGTGACCCTGGGTAGGTAGCTAGCATCTGCCAATAAATACCAACTTTTTAAGCTTTTTTAAACTCCAGAAAGTTCAATTATAAATTAATAACAAATTTAAAACAGTCGCTTTGGTACAAATGATGTTATTAAGGGGACGCTGTAAAGACCAAAGTTGTTTCTGTACCTGTGGTAAACTTTGTGTTTTCATGGCTGAGTCTATGAGGGCTTGAACCAGCCTTAAGTGTTAAGTGAGGCATGTCTGTTATTTCAGATTAATAACATTATAACCTCTAGAATATGGGTTTATAAGAACTGTTAAGGACACATACTGAACTTTACTGTTCAATTACAACCTGTTTTATTACACTTTGGTGCACTGCTACAACAGAAATGTATAGCGAACAAAGCTCGGAATCTTTATAAATGATATTTTTGGAATTGAGAGCTGCTCTTTTTGGCTTCATGGGAGCGTAATTCACAGTGATGAATATTTTCACCCTAAAGACAGTGAGATACAGTGGCCACAGACGTCAGGATTAGCACGCATGGTAGGTGAATACGTACTGTAGAGGCCTCCACGTTCAGGCTGCCAGCAGCCAGAACAGTTTCAGGCTCTGGCGCTGTCCGTGGTACCAGCGTGGCTCTGTGGGCTTAGCATTTGGCGCTGTCCATGGTACCAACGCGCCACTGTGGTGTCCGGCAGGCTGGCGGTATTTGTGGTGCTGAGGCTCCATTGCCTCGCTGTCCAAGGAGCTGTTCCAAACATGGTGGAGCTGTCCGTGGTGCTGAAAACTGAAAAGTCCTTCCAGAGAGATTGCAAGAATATTTAGCCATGTAATGACTAAACAATGACACCTAAGTTTAAGTTAAACACGTCCCGATTAATGTGCTGAATGATGGTTAAAAGCTATCTTTATGTAGAAAACCAGTGTTGTATTATAGCATGCAACACTAAAAAGCTGGAGGTCGTAGTGTGCTTTATAGGCTGTCTCTCGGTCAATGTAATGACACTGGGTTCATTTATATCCAGTATTACACAACATCGCCCCACTTTTAAAAATAATTGTATTAATGGGAGTACACCAGTGTGGCAAGGAAAAAAAAGGAGGCGCTGTTACTGTGGTTAAGATGGTTCGATGAGCTGATAACGTCACCATGCTCAATGCTGGCAATAAAACCCATTTATTTCAAACTGAAGCTTGTGCTCTTCCAGAGACGCTCAGTGACGTTTTGAGAAGATAAAAAAAAAAGGCTGTGCATGCACTGAGACCTCTAACTAATAATGACTGTATGATGTGTATGGAAAATCCCCACCACAGAGAAGCACATAAACAGCAGCACAAGCAGAAAAATATCGGACCCCCCCACCTCCTCCTCACACCCCCACATCATCACTTTGTTAGTATCGCCCCTGTGTGTCGATATATTGCTGAAATGGGACAAACTCATCTTGATGCCACTGCAAAATAGTTCAAATCCCACATTTGCTCCAGAACAAATATCGACCGTTCGCGGGACGATCTCACGTTTTCAGACGTGATTGATTGGTAAAAATCAAAGCGGGGTATGTGAAATCGATACACTGTAAGCTGTAATTCACGCCGATTTAACGACGCAAAGCGATTGCTTTGGCGTAACAGCAAAAGACGCGACCTCAAGTGGCTTATTGCCTGACGTAATATCGATTATGTGGATGTTTCACTTTAGGCAAAAACACTTGGAGTCGCACGGTGCGCACTTTTTTCCCTCTCCGTCTGCCTCTACCCCCTCCACTCTCCATCCTTCGGTTCCTTCTGTAAGCATGCTGTGGTCTTCATCCACTCTGTGCCCAAACCGAGAGCTTGAAGCACCCCTCCCCCCAATCTCTCTTTCTCTTTTATGACCAACCCTCTTTCATCCAGGCAGGCGTTTGTTCGCTGGATTTTATAAGAGCCTGTTTAATTACATATATATATATTTTTTAAACACAGTCTATGAGCTACAGTGTCGGGGCTGCTGAGACTGAAGAGAATCGAGGAAACCTACCACAGGTGAAAGGAGGTTTTACGACGCTGCGGTACAGATGATTGAACACTTTAGCAGTAACTCAGCGCAATCTCCCCGCTTACCCTGACTGAAACGGGGCGGAAATTGAGGCTAAAACACTTTGGAACAACTAAAAAGGGACCAAGTTCTGTTTCCGAGCGAATCTAAAACCCGCTGCGTTGTTTCCCCAACTGGGCTTTCTGTGGAAGATGTGACCTTTTCTGTTGCGCCCCGTGGAGAAAATCACTGCTTTTTTTCTTTTGTTATTAGTTCTTTTTTTTTTTTTTTTTCTTTTGTTTTTTCCACCCCCTAATCAGTTACTCGAGCTTGACATGTCTTTTTGTGGGATTACACGTGGAGATATGATCACTGTGAGAGACCGAGCTGGATTGTGAATTTACTGTCAGCGCTTTTTTTTCTTCTTTATTTTTTCTTTATTTCTTCTTCCTTTTTTAAAACTTGTCTCCATAACGAAGGAAGTGCTCTAGCTGTTTTCTTCAATGGCTTCAGTGTCAAGGTTGGGAAGACGCAAAGATGCCAGTCGCTGGCCGAGAATGTCGTCAAGTTTCTGGGCTGTGCTGCTCCTGACAGCGCTGCTGCTTCTCTATTGCGGTAAGTCCCGCCGCTTTCCTCTCCTCTCTCTGTCTGTCACACGCTCTCTATTTTGACCACACACACACCCACAGTGGGTGACCGTGCCATGTGGGAAGGCTTTGACAACAAAATTATGTGAGTGGTATTGGCAATCGCTCTTAGCGTATTGATCTCAGTAGTTGTCGACGTGTCATATTCTTCTTTTTTCCCCCTATTGAAAAACACGCACGGGGATCACAGCTGCGCGTGCACATACTCACTTTAAAGCCCCTTCCTGCTCCTATGTATGCAGACAGGCAGAATCAAGAGAAGCCCCTCACCACCACACACACAAATCCTCTCTCATAAAAAAACAGGGGAATGTGTCTCATTGTCTTGTGAAACTACTTTCTTTGGCTTGGAATAGGAGTGCGCCACAGGCCTAATTAAGTCTCATGTGACTCCCGTTAATTCTTATTCTATCTGTCTCTTCAACACACACACACACACGCACCCATCTATCTCTTAAAGCTTCTCAGACTGACTGAGTGAGGTCAGGCTGTCATGCATTTGTCATCTCTGAAACACAGAATCCAGAAGATATACATAACAAATTCACATAATGTTAAAAGGTACAAATCTTATTATTATTATTTTAAATTTATGAATAAACCCTTTTTAGTTGGACAAATAGTACTCCAGGCAGTAATTCAAGAGTGCCTGAGGATAACCTTATTAGGCAAATGTATGCAAGTACAAGCACACACACACACACACACGCAATTTGCTCCTCTCTCTCTCTCTTTTGGGCTACTTCTCTGGCCATGGCTGTCTTTTCATTTCTTGTTCCCTGGCACCCTCACACCTTCTCTCCGTCTTGCTTTCCTTCTCTCGCTCAAACCGTCTCTGACTCACTTATGAGGAGAAATCCAGCTGGCACACAGAGCTTCAGTCTGCTATGTGTGAACAAAAAAAAGGAGGCTATGTGCAATAGCCATGATAAGCTCATGGAAAAAAAGAGGAAAGGGAAAAGTTATTTCATTAGCAGCTGAGCTAATGGTTAATGTAATCACCCTGTCCTCCAGTGCATTAGCTATGCTGGTGCTGTAACAGATTCGTACTGTGATGCTGAGTTTTCCTTACAGCGATGTGAACCGACCTCAGCTCGTTCATTTCCTTTTTACCTTTTTTCCTTCTCTACAAAGGACACAAGATTGAGTTTGCTTTGTAATCACACAGACCTCAGGTTAATCAATGACAGGCTTAGTTTATAAGAGCCAAAGCTTCTGGAGGGGGGGCTTTTTATTCTTTTATGGTGCCTTCGGCCATGTGCCATTGATCTTCCGTTTGTGTCCAATCACGACACTTGGATGTTTGTTTCAGTCAGCAGTCTTGCTTTTTCCCTTTGCAAGGACCTCGACCTTTTTACCCAGTAACACTGTGAGCCTTCAGAGACTTAATAATCTGAGTGATAATCATTCCTGGATTTCCTCTTTTATGACCTCTTTACTCCACGCTGCTCAAACTGTGTTATTTGGTACCTTTTGTCCAACAGTCCGCCTTATGGGTATATTTCATTTTTGTTACCACCATTATTGGTCTATTAAACTCTAGTGCCGGGGCCGACTTTGTGTAATTTCCTCCCTTCTCGCTCCTCGTTTCATTTTTTTTCATTGTTAATTTCCAAACATTTGAACTTGCAACTCTGTAGATCGCACAACTCCCTTTCACTGTTAGCTTTGCCTTTCTTCTTGTGGGTTTGCTTTTACTCTGACCTTCCTCGACAGTGCAGTATTTCTGTTTTATACTTTTTGTATTTTTTTCTTACCCTCTACTTTGTTCATGTGTCCTCCTATGTCCCGGTCACACTGGGTTTGTTTGAGGTTTTTTTTTTCTTTTTTACATTTTTGTCCATCTTTGTCGCTGTTTTGTGCTTAACTTTCTTCTGCTTGAAATTTTTATGTTGTTTTCCCCCGACTCTTTGTAGCACTTGTTCTTTTATTCATTTCCTCTTTTTAACCAGATCTTTCAAACCAGTGGATCTCTGAGCTGAGCTGACCAATGCATGTCCTCTATGCTATTCTGTCTGAAGTCTCTGCTTTCTCAGCAGACTCTTCTCTTCTCTTCTCTTCTCTTCTGATTGTTGTTTATTTTACAACACAAGCATTCATTATCATATTGACTGCATCTCAAGACAAAATGATATTTGTGAGAGTGATCAATTCATTCTCACTACAAGATCAATATACATTAATGTAAGACAGGTGACATGTTTTTAGAAGCTGGAGCTTGTAAACCTTTGACAATTTTGTGTGAAAAATGACCGTTTTCAAGCAATTTGCTGATTAATATTCTACTATTGATTGATTGTCTAATTATTATTATTTTTAAATGACAGCTTTACTACAGCCTTCTACTCAAAATTAAGAAAGAAACCAATAAAACATGATTAACCATTGATTTGTGTATATAAATGGTAATAATCACATACACACATGGTAGTTATTCATATATATTCTTACAAAAATTGTCCACAGTTTGTAAAGGATTTCAAGTTTTACTAGAAATTGATGTCCATGTTACTCACATGCATACAGAACCAGCATAACTGAAAAATGAAGCCAATGCTGAAGTTTCTAGAATCTGCAGTTTTTCTAATGGCCTGCAGGGGGCATCTCCTCTGGTTGCAAAAGATGCCAAGTTGTATAGAAGTTTATCAGAAAATGTCACTTTGGCTTTCTTCATTTATGACCTCAGTGAATCCTTTCCAGATGAGATTATGGGATCAGTTCATAATCTGAGCCCATAAATTGGTAGGTGGTCCTACCAATTTCTAAAGTCTGATTATTTAATGCCTTGAGAGGAGCGTTTCCACCCTCACCATCTTTGTTGCAGAAAAATCAACCAACTCTCATCTTTCAGATGTGACGAGTAAGGGCAGGTCTGACTGTGAAACAGCTCACTGGCTATTGACCAAAGAGTGTGCAGTTTCATACTGCAGATAATACTTCAGTTTGAAACATAGCATGACCAAGATTTACAGAACAGATCTAACTTTTCATTCAGTATGATCCAAAATGAGTGACTGAACCAAAAACTCATCAGGAAAGTGTTTACAGAGATCAAGTTTAAAGGATGTTTTCCATGGACCTGTATAGAACTGGAAGTGTTTTTGCTATCAAAGACTAAAGTTCAGCACTGGTTTCATATCTATCTATCTATCTATCTATCTATCTATCTATCTATCTATCTATCTATCTATCTATCTATCTATCTATCTATCTATCTATCTATCTATCTATCTATCTATCTATCTATCTATCTATCTATCTATCTATCTATCTATCTCTATCTGATAGATAGATAGATAGATAGATAGATAGATAGATAGATAGATAGATACCAAGATACCAAGATACCAAAATAAGAAAGAAAATTCTCAAGTGTTTACAAAATGTGTTACATCTTAGAAAATGCATTTGTGTGATGGTTAGTAATGTATGGCTAATATCTGTGCCAAGGGCACTTTTGCTTTGCATTGTTGCTGTGTTTTACAGCCAAAAGGGTGGTGGTGGTGGAGCTCTGTGATTATGGCTATGACTCATATGGTGCCTGTCACCTAGAATCAACATCCAACTTCACACGATACGCTGTCCTCTCCCAGGCCCTCGTGAGAGGGAGAGATTGAAGAGAGAACAGAGAGAGGCACGGGGTGGAGGGAAGAAAGGGAGAGAGAGAGAGAGAGAGAGAAGCAGAGGCACCGAATAAGGTGAGAGCAGCAGGTGACTTGATATCCCCTCTAATACCTTGATAAGGAAAGCAAGTGAGGCAAGAAGAAAGAGATGGAAAAAAAGGGAGTATAAGGGGAAGGATGAAGGCAAAAGATATAAAGCAGTAAAGGAAAGACAAACCCTGCTGAGGGTGAAATAGAAGCCACGGTCAAGAGGGTGAAAGTGGCAAAAAAAACAAAACTGAAAGGAGAAGACAAACATGAGGAGAGGAGAAAAAAGTAAAAGAGGGAGAGATAAATAAAAACAAGTCAACAACTGAAGTATTTGGAATGTACGTGTCGGTACTGGAAACATTAATCACACCAGAATGCTCCAGTACCTTTTGATTACATTACAAAGAAGTCAACAACAACGACAACAGCAACAAACAATATTGTATTCTGTGCACTAGCTCCCTCATCTGGAAGCTCTCAGCCGTGCATTTGTTTGCCAATGGCGCAATTATGTATTCATGAGACTGTAGCCCTGCATGTGAGCTCGGGGGAAGGCGGATGAGAGAGCCCACAAGGGTAGCTAATCAGTATGCTAATCTTAGCTTGGGATGGCTAAGGAATGTAACACGGCTGTGGTCTGGGTCTGAACTGCAAACACACTGAGAGAGGCAGAGACAGCAGAGAGCGAGGTAAGACAGAGTAACAAGTAGAGAAACTGGAAGCAAGAGAACGAGGAGGAGGAAGTGATAGAGAGGAAGAAAGGAAGAGAGGTCACGCACAACTCTTTTCTTATAGCAGCCTTCATTTTTAGGCATGTAGCAACTGCTGATTCATTCTACCCTTGGATACAATGTTGCGTGCAGGTACATACACCTCTGGCACAGGCATATGAACACTCAGATCTGAGCCCTGAAAAGCAGAGACAGTAATGAACGTAACATCAAAGCAGGCACGCAGGTTACACCGGGGCACACAAACGAGCGCAACATCATCAAGGTCGTTCAGGAACATCAATCACCTATTTGCACATACATGACCACCCTGTAAAGATACAGACTTTAGAAAATGCTGAAAGGTCAGACACACACACAAAGAAACAAAAACAAACAAACACACACACACGTGCATGCATTCCCCTGCTGTCAGGCTCGAAAGCTTAAAGCCATTCTCATCACATCACTCTGTCGCTCAGCGTGGTATCCTGTGTTTCCTGCCTGTTTGTTTATGGGTCGCTGTACTTCTGCAGCTGTATCAATAGGTTGTTAACTGTTACTGGTTTACTGAGAATTGCAGGCCTGGGGGCATTTCAACCCAT